GGTTGGATGAGCCTTGAGCAACCTGCTCTGGTGGGAGGTGTCCCTGCCCAGGGCAGGGATTGGGGCTGGATGATCTCTGAGCTCCATTACAACCCTTTAACACTCTGTGAAACTAGGAATATTCCTGTAAGGGAAATCTTTATTTCACATTCCTGAGTCTCACATCTTTAGTAGCTGGACCAGATACTTTATCTATGCCGAGCTTGGATGTTGTCCTGATATCCCACATTTCATCAGAGCAGCACTTTGCCCTTCCCTGTCTCCTCCTCTTCAAAATATGCCTTGGGAATGGGATGTAAACAACAGCTGTGAACTTTTCCCTCTCTAAACAAACCCTTTCTCCTAGCTGTGCTTCAGGTTTCAGTTCCTGCTTTTCTGTGCCCACGAGATTAGTTTTGTTTATTGACAATCCACAATTCCTTGAAGATATTTTCAGGTGGTTTCGTGCTCAGATATCTGTTTGTAGCTACAGATTGTTCTTCAGTGCTTAGAGCTGTGTGAGCTGATATCCTGCTCAGGCACTGGGGTTTGCTGGGCACTTCCAGCCTCTGCCCAGGGGAGCTTTGAGTAATGATTAAACTGTTGCTTGTTTTGTCTGTGATTGCTTAGTGAGAATTGCCAGAAAAGACAAGGTCACTGGCACTTTGGAGGAGTTGTGGTGTTGTCAAGATAGTAAATGTTTGGGTTTTTTTCTTTCGAGACAATGCAGATATTCTGTGCTGAAGTTTGAATTGCCAACTCACTCTGCTACAAGATTCAACAGATGACTAAAAACCATACTCCATGAAAATAGTTGTTCCTGGGTAAACCTTGACTCTCCTTACAGGTTAAAAGGCCTGGAGCAAATCACAAAGGCAACTATGCTTGGGCACCTCCTTCCTGTGCTGCTGACATCACTGATGCACCCAAATCTGCAGACTCTGACCATGGCTGATGCCTTGATGCCTCAGCTGGTGCAGCTGGTTCTCTACACCAGCCAGGTGAGGTCTCTGCCAGGCAGAAAAGCTGTGGCCTGCATGGTTTGAATGCTGTAGATTTTGGTCAGCTTGCTGCAGTGAGTGACCCACACAGCAGAGGATGAGAATTGCTCAGCAGCTTCCAAGGCTGATGGTGGTGAACATGGAGTTTGACTTGCTGTAGCAATACTCAGTGGTGATTGATTGTCAGTAACAACATAATTGTTTCAGTAATGAGATCTGTAGTGTTTGCATGTCCCTGACACTGTGTATTTTGGGCCACAGACTGCACTGCTGCTTAAAACTCAATCTCCAGTTTTCTCAGAGCTGAACAGCTCCCCCAGTTGTGCTTCAGAACAGAAAGGGAAGCTGTTACCTGATGAGAGGTGATTTCTTTATTACATTTGGGTCTTTTTGTGGGCTAAAGTACCTGAGCTGTAATTTGACCATTTCTGTGGGATAAGTCTTGCTTGCTGAAATGATTTCTAAGGCTGTCTTAGAGATAGCTGAGCCTTCTCAAAGGCAATTAGTTCCAAATTTTGTCTGCTTATGGAATTCAGTTGTTAATATCTCCAGGTTGTTTACACAGGATATGGTTTGTTTTGTTTGTCTCCCCTCACCTCAAGCATTAGGAATTAATTCCAAATGTTCCTCTTGCAATAAATTAGGCCAAGGAAAACCATCAAGAGGAAACATAAATTGCTGTGGCAGCTTCAGATATAGAACTGAAACCACTGCAAAGTTATGAAATGGTTTAATCTAGAGAGAAACAGAACAGTTTTAAATGCTGTGTCTGAGCTCTCAGTTACTCAGTTCTTGCTTAGAAACAGAACCACACAGCTAAATTCAGTAATAAATGCTTGTTGAAAAATAACTCTTGGAGAATCTGTGGTGTTAAAGGTTTTATTATAATGTGTAATATGTAGAGTGTATAAACTCCCTCAGAACAGCTATGCCCAGCCCAGGGGTCAGTGCCTCGTGACACTGTGTCAGCACTAGGAGGTGATTTGAAGTACTTTTTGTACGAATAATAGAAATCTGTGCGTGGAATTTCGGGGCTAATTTTCCCCTCTGATTTCAGAATGCTGGAAGAGAAGGAGGAGCCAGGATTCCTGACTGGCCTGAAGATCCCTGCTCCCTGGGCTGCTGGCAAGACTGTGGAGACAGTGCACCCTGTCAGGGATAACTACAAGTTCAAAGAAACGGTTCACATTCCAGGAGCTCGTTGTTTGTACCTCAGATTTGACAACAGATGTTCCTCACAGTATGATTACGACAAGGTGAGCGAAGGGCCAGGTCACACCTTTCTCCTCGAAAGAGGTAGTGGTGGTTGTGACTAGGAGAAAGATGGGATGCTCCAGGGGTTGGGGGTTGGTTTGGTTTTTCACTCAGAAATTCATATCAAGTTTTTAGAAAGTAATTTCAGGATGGTTCAGACTGTCGGAGTTTGACTTCCTCCTCCTTTTTGCGGTTCAGTTTCCCTCATTCCTCAGATTTCAGTCTGTCCCTTTGATCAGTAGAAAGTTCTGGAAAGGTTACATTTTCCTTGATAACTAGTTTGGTTTATGAATTAGTATGGAGGAGTATTTTCAGTAGAAAGGACACCAGCAGTAGCACTCAGTCTGCTGTGTGTTGCCAGAGCTGCTGGTGCTGCTCACCCGTTGTGCTGTCTGCACGGAGCAGGATCTGTGATGCTCCTGCGAGCTGCTGGTGCTGCTCACCCGTTGTGGTGTCTGCACGGAGCAGGACCTGTGATGCTCCTGTAGTCAGTTATAAGCATCTTTGACTTCATGTCACCCATTGCTAGTTACACTCCCCCAGACAACTCTGGGCCTTGCTGTGTCCCCCTGAAGTCCTGCAGCACCTGCACTCTGTGGGAGCAGGATCCATCCCTCCCCTGGAGAGGAGCAGAGTGTTCTTAGCATGAGCACAGAAGGGCAACATCTCTGCTCTCTGCTCTGACTTGCTGCCTGACCTTGGGGGCAAGTCACTCCATGCCCCTCGTGCCTCAGTTTCCCCATCTGTAAAATGGGGATAATAATACTTACCCAGCTCCCCTCACAACCCTGTGAGGGTTTGTTCATGTTGCTGAAGCGCTTCGGAAGGAAAGCGCAGTGTGAGTGCTAAGTATTATTATTATTATTAGGTTTTCTTGTTTTTCTCTTACAGTCTAACAGTGTATTTTATGTTTTGAAGTTGGTGATCTATGCTGGTCCTAACACAAACAGTAGGAAGGTTGCTGAGTATGGAGGCAATACACTGGGATATGGCAGCCGTAGTGTCTTAGGAACTGGTTGGCCGAAGGACTTAGTGAAGGTACAGTATCCTCATCCAGCAATATTCCACCTACCAAATTCCCCTTTGGAAACCATGTTGAGCCCTTTTTGCCCTCAGAGCAGTGAGCTCCAGGCTTTGAAATGCACAGTTATCCATGGTGAGCTGCTGTGTCCCTGGGGAATGGCTTTAAGCTCAGCTCTGTGTTGTGTGATGCTTCTCTCTGAGCGTATCTTGTTTTGTGCCTGACTGGAATTCCTGGTGTTTCAGTCCTGGAATCTCTCATGGCACTGCTGTTCTCATGGCACATCCTCCCAGGAGAAGTTCTCACACAGTCTGAGCCTGTGTAGATTTTCTCACAGTTCATGGACATAAGTCCATTGGTTTTTCACAGTAACCCCCAAACAGAACAAGTAGTG